CAGCCCGTCGAGAATTTCCGTTACACTCGCAGGTAAGGGTAACCTATTGTCTCTTAACATTTGGGGCCTTCATTCATAAGAGGAATGACAGCTAACTAAAACTGTCACTATAGAGGTGATGAGTAGTTTGAGTTTTTGTGGTTCTAATAGGTAGAAAAATTAATTTGCTTGTAACTATCCAAATTTAACACACGTTCCGAAAACACAAAAAGGGGAAGTTAAGACTCTTTGTTGAATAAAAAGAGACTTTACACCTCGCGATTTTCTCTGATGTTATGGGTGTTAGGGGTCGATAACAACACTGCTGCGGACAGGCGAAACCGCTGTTTGGGGCACTAATTAGAACTTCGAGACCCTAACCTACAACCTCACCTTCACGCGGGTCCAATGTGGCTCGCAGTTCGAGAAACTTTACCCTGCTTTGGTGCCGTCTGATAAGGTTTTGACCTGGCGCTTGCGGGGGGGTCTTGATGTGGTACGACCGGATAACACAAAGCGTTGTACAAGAGATACCGGTGCAGAGATGACCCTTGACATCAACATTTTCTGCAAAAGCAACAAGGTTTTTAATTCTTCAACATGTCTCATAATTTGACACATGTCGGGGACCTTCCAAATCCGGCTATCCTTGTTGTTTTAGCGCACACATCTCAGGTGTTTAATTTTGTACATTAAATGATTTACCCACTTTTAGCGGAACATAGGTTATTACCCCCGTCGTAATTATATATGGGTGTACTGTCGAGTAACAATGAAACATTAAGAATGAAGTGATGTTAAGTCTCCAACTTTGGGATACCCCATAAAAAATGAGGAAGATCTAATATAGAAATCAATGAAATGTCTAAGACTATATACTACACTTTATATTTTGTTGGGAATTTCGTGCTGAAATCAATGTGGACTCATTTTAAGTCCCTTCCACTAACAGTTCACGGTTGTTAGTTCCGCTACTATAAATTAACAACCCTAGAAAAACGACCGAAGACTTTTCCTGAACTTTTGATTTCGTAAATAGACGTCTAGAGATATTGCATATAACTAAAGGCGGTGCTTCCCTGAGCGTCAAATACCGCCGCCGATGGGAATACATTGCAATCAGTTGAAAGCTCTTTGCGTCCGTTTATGAAGCTGAAGGAGCCTCGGCGCGTCCCAACTGCACGCCACGGGACCCTGACCAAGCGTCGCTCCTGGACGTTTAGGGAGTGAGAGTGTGTTGGCTACACTGTTGCACGCGGAGTTTCCTGACTTGGCTGTGTGTGAGCCCCGCCCCGCCTTACAGTGCTCCTGGCTACAATTCTGGTCACATCCTTATGTAAACAAACACGCATGTAAACGGCAATTTATCGAGCTTAGAAAAGTTATCGAGTCCATTTTTATTTATCGTACGATAAGTACATTTATTTGATTATCGCGACAGGCCTAGTGCCTCTATACTAAAGACATCAGTCCTGTTATGTTTAGTTTAATTATATCCTTGCAATCAAATGTCATTAGTTTGGAAGTCATGGTTAAACACAGTAAATGTCTTACGATCGATCACCCCAGAAGTATCCTAAACTGTTGATTTAGCGGTCTGCCTACAGAATCGGACTTTACAGTGAACGCAAGACAATTATGTAGGAGAACATTGTCATACACTCGGTAAAAGAATGAGCTCCACCAACATGTCCGGTCAGTATGAAATTGAAAGTGCTACCATGTCTCCTGGGATATTACAGTGTATAGTGTGGGCTCCTGCCTGTCTCTTGGCTACAGTCCCAGCTCATTACAAATGTGGAGAGTCTCTCACACTGACAGCAGCCAGCACATTCTACCATGTGCACGGATATCAAAGATTTGGTAGAATGTTCTAGGACTGGGAATGGGCTTATTAGCTCGGTAGTTAATGGATACTGCTTTTCTGTTTCTTTACAAAATTCCGTTTACTGCTGAGCCTGTAACTGGTAGAGGAAGTTTGAGATGGTTGGATTCAGCCCCAAAATTAACTATAATTCATCAGATTTAAAAATATATCGCAAATTAGGGTCAATTTATTAGAACATATGTAAGCATTTAATTTTAGCCTGCTCATAGAGCTCTGTATTACACATAAACATTTGCTTACAGTGTTGTAAAAGGATATATTGCACAGGAAATGCAGAATATGTGGAGAACGTTAATTAGTATCTAAAATGTTCTGTTGTTAATATTAACAAAAAATAAACTTCTAACTGAATGTAAATTGCAGAAACTCTAAATGGATAATGCTAGGCTAGTGAAGCGTTGGGCATTATTTGCCGTTTTTTTTACATTAAAATTTAGGGATGCACGATATTGTTTTTTTTTTAACCGATACCGATAACTTCCTGCTTCTCAAGACCGATACCATACCCGATAATAATATATATATATAGCTCTTTTTCAAATATCGGGGCTGTTATATGTTATATAAAAACCCATTTTTTTTTTCTTTTTTATGACCCCACACCCACCTACCCTACTCCCCGCGAACAAAAAGTGAGCCGAGGAGGGGCAAAACGGTCATGACCACCATAATCACCAAATCCTTCTCACCTCAAAAAGTGTTAGGTCGCGAGGGATTTGAGTACGGACCGACACTGCATTTACCACACGCCGGCACTTCGGTCCTGTCATTTGTTTGTACAACAGCCATCATACCCTGATAAAGTTTCAAAAGTCTCAATCTATCAAGCGAACGATAAACATTAATTGTTTACGTTACGTCTTCAAGGTGCTCCTCCCTTTTTTCCGTTGCTCGATATTATGAAGGTTGGACTAATCAGTGGACTTTGTAGCGTAGGCGATGCTACCACACAATTCTCGCATACTTCTGCGGACGCGACGATTGATCGCCGCTTAGGTTTCGTCGACGTTTCCGTGGCCCCGAAAATGATAGCTGCTCCGAAAACTTTTCCGTTCTTCAAACGGTCTCTGCTGGGGTCCCGATTTTGCTCCTTTTTTTGATGTCCATGTAAATTATATATATATATATATATAATATATTATATATATATATATATATAT